TGAAAGTGAAAGTATACCGCCCTTCATCTTCTAAAAAAGGAGGCATTGGAAGGAACGACCTGTCCCGATCTTGAAGTGATTGCAAGGCATTTTCAGTCCAAAATTCTGGCTAAGAATCGAGAGAAGATAGTCAAACGTGTTCACACTTTAAAGAACGTGGCGGTCACGTTAATATATCCGATCAGAAACAAACCACAGGCATTGGTGTGGACATTTCTAACTATCATTCACAAATTTGAAACTCGAACTTGTATATATTATGTACACATGTTGGTGCCGGATTTTGAGATTTCAAATAAATCTTTTTTTCACCATGTCTTTAAATAGCGCGTCCTCAAACGATGTCTAAGGACAAGAATGTGTGTCTTCAATGGGTTAGCGTGCACTGTCATCTCGCTATCTCAAAATTACAAAATTGTATCTGACATTTTTGGCTGTTTTGAGTTACTAAGACCAGGACATCAGGAAACCAATGTTCCATCTGCTCTATCAAAAGTGTTAGAGCATTTTGGAGTTATTATCAAGATACTCAAAGAATTGCATTTGAAAAAGCTTGACATGATGAGAAACTGAAAATCTTTGACGTCAAATTTCTCCAAATTAGGTACTTAGCAGATAGAATTTGGTAATTCTGAGGATGCGACCTGGCAGTGAAATCACTGACTCCTTCTTGTCTGACATTTCTATGGGCTGTGTTTTTTCTCTTTGCAGTTGTAAAATATTTAACTCATGTACCCAACACTATATAAATTTCGATAAATTTAGGAAGCAGGCGGCTTTACCCGTGTGTTAGGACCATCCCTACTCAATAGTGTACTGCACAGTAGAAAGAAACAGGTGCTCCATAAAATATCAGCCTCACATGAGGACCAAACCTACGCCTTTTGTGTGCTTGTCCAACAGCTCAGTCAACTCTCGTTGTACTTCAGCGTAACAAATCTGACCCCCCCCCCCCCCAAAAAAAAAAAAAAACTACAGAGATAATCTTCATTGTGCAAACGGAAGATGACTATCTTCCTTTTTTGGTTGACACGACAGACGCACCTTTTTTTGTTCCATTTAGATAATGTTAGTTACGAACATTATGGAATGTACAGTTTGCATTCTCAAAAAATGCAACGTTGATAGAATTTGTGCAAGGTTCATAACTCTTGAAATAGAGAAATACAAGTTTGTCTCAAATTATGTAGTTCATTCCCTTTGATCAGAAGTTCTTGCCAAACTTTGCCTTCTTTCTTGGACGTCATTCGTTTTCGTTTAATCTATTATACGTAGATATATCTGCTGATCCCATGTCAGACATTTATGCACTATGGTTAGGGTAAGAATCAATCAGAGTTTCTGCTATAGTTGAGGTCAGAAGTCAAAAAGTTTTTGACCTTTGAAATTATGACCTTTGTAACTGTGCTTCGAGTGAAAAATTATTAAGCTTTTCGTAAGGGTTAGAGTCTGAAGTCAGGCCATTTCTTCGTTATTTGAAAAAAAAAGGGCAGACGTTTTTAAGAAAGTCAATTATTCTTTTTCGAAAATTTGCTTATTGAAAATATCTTAGTTCTCGATTTAAAAATCAAAATTGAATTTGATATATCTCTGGTCATATATATTATAGCCCTTTTGATTGAAGTAATTCTGTTTGAAGAGACTGTTGCTCTAGATAGTCGTACAAGAGAAGCGTCGGAAGACTTCTTTCACCTACACTTTATCAAATTTTATTTTTGTATTTCCTTTGTTATTCTTCCTATCTCTCTCTCTCTCTCTCTCTCTCTCTCTCTCTCTCTCTCTTTCTCTCTCTCTCTGTCTCTCTCTCTCTCTCTCTCTGTCTCTCTCTTTCTCTCTCTCATCAGGTATCTATTTAAAAAATAACTAACCTAAAATACAAACTCTTCTATAATTACCGTTTTCCTCTTATCGCATATTCTGATTGGAAAGGTAATAAAATTAAATGTACGTATGTATTATTATGGAATAGGCTTCAGGACTTGAATCAGAAAGTTATGGCCTTATTCATCTGAAAGTTGTGTTTCTGTTTGTTACGTCATCATTCACAATTGGTTGTTTATCAGAACAATGCTAGACCTTTCAAGGGACATTTTCGTATTCTTCTTTCAGCCATTCTTTTTTTTTCTATTGGAATTAAACGAATCAGCTTACAGATATTTGTCTCCTAGCATAAACATTATTGTGTTGGACCAAAAAAAATGAACTTTAAGTGTCAAGACCGCTGCATAATATCTCAGACACTGGAATATTACAATAAAAATGTTGTGCTGCGGGCTGCAATAATACGTCCAAAGAGCGTGTTGTGCGTGCATCCTATCCTCCCAGTGAGCACGTGACTACATGGCAGAGAGCACACTGTCTGGGACTTCCGCCCCGCCCACTTCCGCTGACGCCTGCTGCTCTGGATCACTCCGTCTTCCAAAACGCATGTACTTCTGTCTCTTTTCCTTCCCAACGTCCTCCTCCTCCTCCTCCTCCACCTCCTGCCTCTTCCCAAATCGTGGCAGTGAGCTCCTGTCTTCGTACACCCGGCGCACCCTCTGTGCTAGACCTTCCCCCAAACTGATGACGTCATCTCCGCCAATTTCGTCGTCCTCTGTCTCGTCTCCTTGACTCCGCCCAAATCGCATGAACTCTGGGTGACCTCTTTTGGACAATCGCGTCATCTGTTGGTTGTTGCTCCACATCGCTCGTTTGACCTCGTTGTCCAAGTTCTCGACTGACCTTTTCCTCACTGCGTCCTTGACCTCAGCCTCCTGCTGGGTCACAAAAGCGGAAGTGGCGGAGCGGCCGAACCTCATGAATCGTTTGTTGGCGTCTGCACTGCGTATTTGACGAGAGTTGGCTCGTTCCTGTGTCGTTTCTGTCGATCTGGCTGTCCTGGAGTGATGGAAGAGAGAAATAGTGAGAGAATGATTAGGAGAAAACGAAGAAAGAATAAGAGAAAGAAGAGAAAGAAAGGCTGTAACAAAAAGGAAGGAAAACTGAGAGGAAGAGAGGAGGTTAAAGAAAGTACGAAAGAAAAAAATGATGGAAGAGGGAAATTTTGAGAGAAAGATTTAGGGGGGGAGAGGGGGAGAAATAGAGAATGACGGGGAGATAAAGAGTGGGAGAGAGAGAAAGAGACATTGGGAGGGAACATGTATATGAGAGAGAGACAGACGGAGATCCAGAGAAAGAGTGAAGGGGAGAAGGGCAGAGAAGATGACAACACAGACAGACAAACAAACACACAGACAGAGAGACAGACAGACAGACAGACAGACAGACAGACAGACAGACAGACAGACAGACAGACAGACAGACAGACAGACAGACAGACAGAGATGTCGTTTGATGTGTGCTTTTTTGTTTGTGCACGCTCTAAAAAATAATACAGATAAATGCAAAAATAGCATAATTTGGAGAAAAGAACAACAAAAAAAAGAATTATAGAAAGAAAAGAGATAACAAAGATATTAAAAGGAAAGGGATAGCAAGTAAAGGAAAGGGATAGTAGTAGGACTTTTTTAAGAAAAGAGATAGCGAAGCTGTTGAACGAAAAGAGATTGTAAGTATAGTATTGAAAGAAAGGTAGCAATGATATTGAAAGGAAAGAGATAGCGAAACTGTTGAAAGAAAGGAGACAGCAAAAATACTCAATGAAAAATGGAATGAAAATAACATTATTATCTATACATGTATGTATAAAAGTGGACTTAGGAGGCGTTGCTGCAAAAAGCTAAATTTCTTTATTTCGCCGATCGCATAAAGTAGGCCGATGCTTCTGTCTCTGTAATTTTGGAAAATCTGCCAGGTTTGTTTATTTCAAGCCGGACTTCCGTTCGATACTATCGCACATTTTCGTGTAATACTGAGCACTATTTTAAGATCTAGCCTCATGTCTTCTTTTTTTACTTGGTGTTAAATTCGGCTGTGATCCTTTCGTTTGATGCCCATCATCGCTTTTTCTGGATTCCTTTCTCAAATTATTTTCTTGCTACTGGGAACAACATCAACAGGAGGTCTTAGATTAGAATCTAGATCTAGATAGCGCCTGACCTTGCCGAAAAGAAAACGGCGTTCTGCAGTTGGAACCCCTCGCGCTCGCAAAGATCGGAGTAGTAGGCCAATGACTTTCAGTTGATGTTAGTGTACCGATCATCCCTTTCATCGAAAGGGGGCCCAGCTAGTCTATTATATATTTGGCAACGTGGAAAAACGTGTGTCATCATCATCATCCGGTGCCTTTCCGACTGGCGTGGGCGATCATGGACTTCCACTTCATTCTTTCGTGCGTTGCAGCAATGGTGTCTGTTGTTGTTGCTGCTCCTAGCCATGTTGTCATCTTGTCCAGTATATTTTCCCTCTGTCTGCCTCTGCCTCTCTTTCCATCAAACTTGCCTGTTGTTACAATATTTTCCAATGCTTCTTACCGCATTGTTTGTCCGAAGAAATTAGCCTGTCGCTTTTTTATATTCGTCCCAAGTTGTCTTCTACAATTTGCGTTAACCAAGACTTCATCATTTGTCTTTCTAGCTGTCCATGGGATACGTAGCATGCGTCTTATAAACCACAACTCTGTCGCCATATATCCAGCTGTTTATTGATTGTCCATGCTTCGCACGTGTGTCACTTTTCTCTAAAGATGTATTGTTCCATTCCATTAGAGTGTAAAATTAATGTAGTTGGCCAATGACTTTCAGTTGATGTTAATGCACCGACCATTTCCAGCTAGTGGAAAATAAGGTTTCAGCACACGGAAATATTCAACCCTTTAATTGCCCTGAAAATTGAGTAATGAAAGAGATTGTTAACACGTTTGTGTAAGAATAATTTGCGGAGGGCCAACTACCCGACCCAGTAAAAAAGGAAAGTTACAGAAACAAGAACAACCACGCCTTATGATGTTTACATCTTGGGAGATGAAGGAGCTTCTGCATCAGCAGGAACAATGAAGGACAGCGGACAAAGCCGAAAGGACTCTTCTGACCCGAAACCTTCTCTGTCGAACAAGTCTCTCCGGATTGCGTCGTGGAATGTTCGCACAATGTATGAAGCAAGAAAGCGTTCTCAAGTGCTAGGAGTAAGCAAAACCCACTGGATACAGTCTGGACAGAAGCAGCTCAGCTCGGGGGAACAAATATTATATTCTGGGATGTACAGAAAAGTGGGAAGACGTGGGGTGATATCAAACGACTAGCGCGGGATAGGGAAAGGTGGAAAGTGTTTGTTCTTGGCCTATATCCTGATCCAGGGCGAGAGAGGCAATGTTGATGATGTGACTGAGAGTATGTTCGTGAGTGCGGGCATACTATTGTATCATAAGCTTATGAGCACGGAGTGTGTGGAGAAGAGAGGATGTGTGAGAGAGAGTGTGTGTATGGGTGAGCGCACGCGTGTGCGCATGCATATGTGTCAGTATGTGTGTGTGTGTGCGTGTGTGTGTGCGCGCATGTGTGTGCGTGCGTGGGTGTGTCTATGTGTTTTTACTGGTGTGTGCATGTGTGTGTTTGTGTGTGTGTATGTGTGTGTGTATGTGTGTGGCGTGTGTACGTGGTAAAACACCAAAAACTTCTAAACAAAAAAGATTTATCTTATCGTATCTTCCTATCATGATCAAAAGTATAGAAAGTTATAACTTTGGCAATCTACTAGCACTATGTTTACTGTCTATTGCCTAAGCACAGCTGTATCATCCATACTGCTTTTAGATCATCTTTGAAGACGAAAAAAATGTAGTTCGTACTATAAGAAAACGGATAAAGGATGTTTTCTATTTTCTATTTTTACCTCGACAAGGCTTCTCCTTCACCGACACCTTCTTCGCTGTCTGCTCCTCTTTTGCCAAATCGGATGAATGGATCGCCTCGACCAAATCGAATGAAGGGGTCCCCTCTACCAAATCTGATAAATGGGTCGCCTCTACCGAATCTGATAAAAGGGTCCTGCCTCTTTCCAAATCGGATAAATGGGTCTCCCCTGCCGAATCTGATAAAAGGGTCCTGCCTTTTTCCAAACCGGATAAAGGGGTCCCCTCTGCCAAACCTTATAAAGGGGTCCCCTCTGCCAAATCGGATAAACGGATCCCCTCTTCCGAATCGGATGATAGGGTCTTGCCGCTTATCTGTTTGTCCACCACTAGCATCCGAATCTCTTTTTCCGAAACGGATAAAGGGGTCGCCTCTCCCGATTCGAATAAACGGATCTCCTCTTCTTTTCCCGAACCGGATAAACGGATCCCCTTTGCCGAATCGGAGGAAACCATCCCCTCTTCCAAACCGCATAATGGGGTCCCGTTTTAGGTCGTCATTGACGTCATCGCTGGTGCTGTCACCGTTCTGTTGAGCGTCTCGGCCAAAGCGCAGGAAACTGCCGTCAGTGCTGCGGCCAAAGCGGAGGTAGTCTCTCTTGTCTGACGCGTCACTTTCTGAAAACAAGTAATAAATATAACGTTACGACTTACAGTAGTTATCATCATTAATTGTTTTGATACTGAGATTGTCTTGATAATGATGATATTAATACAAAGGATACTAATAATAATTAGTATTATTAT